GGGGTTAAGGACACATATGTAATACCTTAGTCAATAAAGAAAAAAAAAGATTAGTGATGACATTTCTTTCAGGTATTAAAATAACACAGTCCAGGTATTTTGATTACTACTGCAGGAAGAATCACCTTAAGGTAAATTAAATTTACATAGTCCTAGGAGCCACTTTATAGAAATCCTAATTTGTCTGGTCGGGCCAGAGGCCTAGGAGTCTGCATTGTATCTTGTATGCCAGATTATGATGGTTATTCTTGGACCACACTGAGAAATACTGTTCTACATGAGTAGATAGCTATCATTGTGTTCTTTAGACTAGAGTCTCAAATAACACTACACTGAGAGATAGATCACCTAATTTGAGTCCTCATAGTGATTTAAGCAGTGACCCTGTGTTCTCTCATCTATGAAATGGGATTAATATTTAACTAAATTTGTTGTGAGGAATAAATGAGCAAAGGGAAAATATAAAAATGTAACTAAAATTTTTTAAAAGAGTAATGAAGATGAACTCCTACAATATATTAGAACATACTATTAGGTTGAACCATATGAAGATGCTACTAACTGGTCATATTTTTGGATTTCCACTTCACTTTTTAATTAAATTTTTTTTCAATTACAGTTTACATTCAATATTATTTTGTACTAGTTTCACAATTATGTACTTTACTAAGTGTTCCACCCTCATATTTTCAGTACCTACTTTGCACCATAGTTATTACAATATTATTGACTATATCCCCTATGCTTCTGCTTGGTCATTTTTGAACCACAAAAACAGCAATTTCATATTATTCATTCAAATAGAAAATAATAGTGAATCTTTACATTTGTATGATATTAGTGCAGGAATTTGCAAACCAATGGTGTGTAGAACAGCACATTTGTGAAACAGGCCCAAGTGTATATGGAAATTTAGTTTCCCAGAGTGGTATTTCAAATAAAAAATGAATTGATCTATAAATAGATTATTGTGATAACTGCCTATCTCTTGGAAAAAAAGGAAAGTTAAATTCTGCCTCCACATTATACCCCAAAATGACCTGTAGATGGGTCAAAGCTCTAAATGTAAACAAAAACAAAAAGAAAGAAAACAGAAACTGTAACAGTATTTGGAGAAATTGGAAGAATATATTTTTATAATCTTAAATAGGAAGCCCATTTGTAAACAAGACATAAAACCCAACATTAAGAATAATAAAATACAAACTGAACATCAAACTTAAAAAACTACTATCAGCCTCAGCCATTTTTGCTCAATAGATAGAGCGTCGGCCCTCAGACTGAAGGGTCCCAGGCACATACCTTGGCTGCAGGCTCCATCCCCAGCCCAGGTCAGTGAACATGCAAGAGGCAACCAATTGATGTTTCTCTCTTTCTTTCTCTTTCTCTCTCTCTCTCTCTCTCTCTCTCTCTCTCTCTCTCCCCCCCCCTCTATCCCTCTCTCCTTCCCTTCTGCTCTCTCTCAAAATCAATGAAAAAATATCCTAGGGCAGTGGTCGGCAAACTGCGGCTCGCAAGCCACATGCGGCTCTTTGGCCCCTTGAGTGTGGCTTTTCCACAAAATACTGACTTCTGCGCATGGGCCACGAAGTTTCAATCACACTGTATGTGCGCGCCTGCACATGGTATTTTGAGAGCTGTATGTGGCTCGCGAGCTGCAGTTTGCCGACCACGGTCCTAGGGTATTCCCGGCCAGTGTGGCTCAGTGGCTGAGCATCGACCTATGAAGTAGGGGGTCACAGTTCAATTCCCAGTCAGTACATGCCGGGGGCTGTGGGCTAGATCCCCAGTGTGGGGTGTGCAGGAGGCAGCTGATCAATGATTCACTCTCATCATTGATGTTTGTATCTCTCTCTCACTCTGAAATAAAAAATATTTTTTAAATAAATAAAAATATACTTAAAAAAAGAAAAATATCCTTGGGTGAGGATGAACAACAACAAAAAACTATTATTATAAAGACAAGCAGGAAACTGGAAAAAATATTTGTACATATAAAAAAGACAAGCTTAACACCCATAACACATAAAGAAACCCTATAAATAAACAAGAGAACAGAGCAAGTAAAGTATATAAGCAAATAATCCACAGAACAAGAAATACACTCAGTGTATGTGTGAAAGGCTGCTCAACCTTACTAGCAGGCAAGAAAATGCAAATTCAATTAGCACTGTAAGACCTCTGGCAAAACATTAATAGAACCCACTGCCACCCTGGCAGATGCCTAGAAGCATCAGAGCTATCTTACCTTTGACACATAGTAACGATTAACTCCAGAGACTCGCTTATCTCTTTGCATCAAAGACCAGTGATATGAATAATAGGCTACCCGTTTTTCCTATAATTAAAAGAAATAATTATTGCAATTTTAAGATGAGTGACCCAATAGAGGAATATTAGAACTTTAATAAGTGACATTCTAGAATAACGGAATCATTACTGAAACAAAAACCAAATTAACAATATGACTATAATCCTAAATAACATCGGACCACTGTCCTGGCCGGTGTAGGTAAGTGGTTTGAGTGTGAGCCAGAGCTCCAAAGGGTCCCACGTTCAATTCCCTGTCAAGGGTACAGTCAAGGGCATGTACCTGGGTTGCAGGTTCCATCCCCCACCCAATCTGGGCGCAAGTGGAAAGCAACCAATGGATGTGTCTCTGTTGAATTGATGTTTCTCTCTCTCTCCCTTCTCCTCCTCCCTCCCCCCCTCTCTCCCCTTCGTTAAAAAAAAAAATCGGACCACCAAACTTTAGAATTAACATGGTAATTTACACTTTCTATTTTAACCTGGGTATTTTTTCTTTCCTCCCCGCCCCCACGCCCTCTTAACGACATAACTACTTGTTTCTTTTTGGTACCTAATGGAAAGAAAACAGCGATTTTGTGAAGGACAACCACAAAACCCAAAAGCAAACACATTTATACTCTGTACTCTAGAGATGATATAAAGGACTAGGAAGAGGGGGTAATTACAACATGGAAAAAAAAACAGGATCTTGAGGTACATTCTTAAAGGCTTGCAAGAGAAAATGGGGGATAAAAAAATGTTCAAAGTAAAAACCTAATTAAGGTTGGGGAAGAAGAATGAGAAGTTACTAAAATGTGAATATGAGGAGTTAAAATCAAAATCGAGCATGAAAGACTAGGAGTGGGGGCAAGCGTAAGTGACACCTCCCTCCTCTACGGAGGAGTCTGGACCTAACCTCTGCTCCTCTACTTTTCCAAGCCCCAGTCTACTCGGCCCTCCGGCCCACTCTTCTCCACCCAACAACTAGCCGGGTTTTGCTCGAGTAGAATGTTGTTTCCGTTGGGCTTCGTTCCGCAAACCTCCGCTTTTAGGCAATACGGAAAAGGGAGGGCGGGGGGTGACCGCGGTATCCCCCTTCTCCCACGGAGGTTCCGGATGCTAATGACCTCCCTAAGCCACGGCCCCTTACGTAACGCCGGGCCGCGGAGCCGGCCGCGGCAGCCGCCTCACCTTGCCCCCGTTGCTGAACTTGTGAATGTGCGCGGTGGCGATGCCGGGGATGAGCAAGCACACGCCCATGACAGCGAGCCCGGGGAGAATCTCGAACCACATCGCGGCAAGGTTACCAAGGCCAGAAAAATACCTCCAGCTCCCGAAAAGCGACCGACTTCGATCCTTTCCCACTGAGCCCCGCGGCTGGGCGGGGTCACGTACAGCGGCGGAAACGACGGTGGCCCGCAGGGTTCTAGAGCGGCGCACTCGCGCACCCGAGTGCTCCAGTTTCCCACGGCGCACTTGGCTCGGGCTTCTCGGCGGAGCGTGCAGTAACGCGAAGCCTCTGTTTCGGAGCACGGGGCTGCACAATGGCAGAGCAACTTTCCCCTGGAAAGGCGACGGATCAAGTGTGCACCTTCCTGTTCAAAAAGCCTGGGCGAAAGGGGCCTGTAGGCCGCAGGAAGCGCCCGATCTGCGACCCAGAGCCCGGAGACAGCAGCAGCAGCAGCAGCGACGAAGGCAGCACTGTGGTTCGCCGCGAAAAGAAGCGGGCGACCCACAATCCGATGATACAGAAGACCCGTGGCAGTGGTAAACAGAAGGTGGTTTACTGTGAATTGAGTAGTGAGGAGGAGGGGGATGGGAAGGGGAAGGAGGCTGAGTCTCTCCGTGTGGTCTACAAGTCCACCTGCTCGGCGAAACCCGTGGGGCCAAAGGATATGGGGGCGACTGCTGTCTACGAGCTAGACACAGAAAAGGAGCGTGACGCACAAGCCATCTTTGAGCGCAGCCAGAAGATCCAGGAGGAGCTGAGAGGCAAGGAAGATGACAAGATCTATCGGGGAATCAATAACTATCAGAAATACATGAAACCCAAGGATACATCTATGGGCAATGCTTCCTCCGGAATGGTGCGGAAGGGCCCCATCCGAGCTCCCGAGCATCTACGTGCCACCGTGCGCTGGGATTACCAGCCCGACATTTGTAAGGACTATAAGGAGACTGGCTTTTGCGGCTTCGGAGACAGCTGCAAATTCCTCCATGACCGATCAGATTACAAGCATGGGTGGCAGATCGAACGTGAGCTTGATGAGGGTCGCTATGGTGTCTATGAAGATGAAAATTATGAAGTGGGAAGCGATAGTGAGGAAATACCATTCAAGTGTTTCATCTGTCGCCAGTCCTTCCAAAACCCAGTCGTCACCAAGTGCAGGCATTATTTCTGCGAGAGCTGTGCACTGCAGCATTTCCGCACGACCCCGCGCTGCTACGTCTGTGACCAGCAGACCAATGGCGTCTTCAATCCAGCGAAAGAATTGATTGCTAAGCTGGATAAGCATCAGGATGCAGAAGAGGATGGTACTTATGATTTTCCAGAAAACCCCGATTCGGGTCCAATTCCCATTACTTAGTTTTCCCTTATTTTCCAATTTCAAAGTAAATATTTTGGAAATCTTAATTTGTGTCCTTCCTTTCTAGGGAACTTGACAGAGGAAAAGGCAGGTGATGAAGTAGGTTCCTGGATAGATGGCTTGTGAAAGCATCAAGGTAAGTATAATCTGTATTTTTACCTGGTATAAATGCTGCCTGTGTGTAACTTTTCAGAACTCTTTGGCATAAATTACAAGGATGGGATAAATTTGAGAAAAGAGCTAGAATTTGCTTGAAATAACCAAAACTCTGGTGAAAGGAAGAACTGAATCTATTATATCACATTTCTGTATCACTTAATGTTTTGCAAAAGTACTTTCATGCATTATCTCTATTGGGAGCCTGTGCCATAATATACCCCAGCCAAGGTATGGGGGCAGGTGAGTGGGAGAATTGGGTTGGGGGACTGACTGGTGGCTAACACCACAGAATGCCTGTATGGGAAATGGCCTTGCTCTCTTTGAAGCACCTACACTAACCACCCCTTCCATGGATAATTGAAATGATCTATGCTGTGCTGTCCAATATGATAGCTGCTGGCTTCATGTGGCTGTTGAGCACTTGAAATGTGGCTGGTAGCCACCATATTGGACATTGCAGTCATCGACTGAACTTGGGAATCTGCAGAGGGCAAAAACCTAGTATTTTATAATGCATTGTCTGCAACTGCAGTCACAGACCCTGTAGTATCACCCCCTATTAAAGTTAATCTAGATACCTGTCTTCCCAACTAATTTGTGAACCTGTAACTAGCCCAGTGCTTGACATATAATAAGTCCTTAATAAATAAACCCAGAGAGTTTTCAAGAGGGAGACTGGGGCCAAATCCTTGAACCCAAGTTGAGAAGCTTGACTATATATTCTTTCGGTAATGGGGAGATAGCAGAGTTTTGGGAAAAGGAACAAAATCAGACTTATAAAAAATTTTTTGTTGCAGACTATTAGATAGATTGCAGGGAGAGGGATGACAAGAGGTAGGGAGGCCAGTGAGGCCAAATGATTAGTAAATTTTTATTGATCTGGCTAGAATTTGGGCTGATCCCAGGAAAGAAATGCAAGAATAAATTGTGGGTTAGGATTTTTTAAATTCACATCATTAATCCATTTAAAGATATTCTTTGAGCAGCTATTCTGTGTCAGGCATAACGGATATTAGCAAACAATGGACACAGCCCCTGTACTCATGGAGCTAGACATCAGTGACAGGTGTGATGAGTACAAGAAAAAAAGTGCACTGGGTTGATCTCTCAGGATAAACCCAATCCCAGCTTTGGAGGAGTTCAGAAACATAAACTCACAATGTGAAACTTTTTTTATTGTTTATTTGCATTCCCATAAAAAATTTAGATTCATCATGTCAACTACTGCAAAAGCATGCTGGATTGGGATTGCATTGAAATAATAAGTTGGAGTAAACAGATCTCTTATACACACATAACTGCATTCTGTTAGTAAATTTGCAATATTAACATTGGTACAATGCTGTTAAGTAATTTACAGACCTTATTCAAATTTCATCAATTGCTCTACTAATGTCCTCTTTCTGGACCACAATGCCATTCAGGGTCATACATTGCAGTTAGTTGCTATGTCTTTTTAGTCTCTTATTCTGGAAGAACTCTCAGTCTTTCTTTTGTTATTCATGTCCTTGACATATTTAAAGAGTACCGGCCAGTTATTTTGTAGCTACCTCCAGATTTTGGTTTGTCTGATGTTTCCTTATTATTAAATTTAGCTTATTCATTTTTAGAAGAAAAACCATAGGAGAGATGCTGTACTCTTCTCAGTGTATTAATGTGAAACATTCTATAACAGTATATAAAGTATAGTGGAGATACCTTAGATACTTGAGAAGCCTACTGGGAAAAGGGCTTAAGAAAGCATCACACAGGCCCTAGCTGGTTTGGCTCAGTGGATAGAACGTCAGCCTGAGGAATGAAGGGTCCTGGTTTGATTATGGTCCAAGGCACATGCCTGGGTTGCGGGCTCGATCCCCATTAGGGGGCGTGCAGGAGGCAGCTGATCAATGATTCTCATCATTGATGTTTCTTTCTCTCTCTCTCTCTCTCTCTCTCTCTCTCTCTCTCTCTCTCTTCCTTCCTCTCTGAAATCAATAATATGTATTTTTTTAATAAAGAAAGCATCACACAGAAATAGCATTTAAGGGATGAGAGAAAGAGACTGAGCCAAATAGGAAACAGGAAAGAAGACCTTGTAGAGGCAGGTGGAGAAACAGGAGCAAAGGAAGAGAGTGTTTTTAAAAGGCCTTGGCTGGTTTGGCTTAGTGGATACAGCATTGGCCTGTGAATTGAAGGATTCCAGGTTAGATTCTGGTCAAGGGCACATACCTCGGTTGCAGACTCCATCCCTGGCCCTGGTCAGTGGGCGTACAGGAGACAACCAATCAATGTGTCTCTCTCACATGTTGTTTCTCTCTAAAAATCAATGGAAAAATATCCTCGGGTAAGGATTAACAAAAGTATCATAGAGGGGTGGGAGAGGTAGAAGAGGGTAAAGGGGGGATAAATGGTGATGGAAGGAGACTTGACTTGGGGTGGTAACACACAATACAATATACAAATGTATTGTAGAATTGTATACCCAAAACCTATATAATTTTATTAACCAATGTCACCCCAATAAATTCTATTAAAAAAAGGTATGGCAAGAAATATGGCAATGACTAACAAATTAATCATTAAAATGGTTAATTTTAAATAAATATTCCTGAGAATTTATGCTAAAAAAGTTATTCAAGAGTAGAATAGCCCTGACTGGTTTGGCTCAGTTGGATAGAGCGTCGGCCTGCGGACTGAAAGGTCCCAGGTTCGATTCCAGTCAACGGCATGTACCTTGGTTGTGGGCACGTCCACAGTAGGGGGTGTGCAGGAGACAGCTGATCGATGTTTCTTTCTCATCGATGTTTCTAACTCTCTATCCCTCTCCCTTTCTCTCTGTAAAAAATCAATAAAATATATTTTAAAAAAAGAGTAGAATAAAGCTTTATAGGAAAAGATATGCAGTGATTAAAAAAATGTATAGAGTAATAGTCATCAAATGGGAACATTGCTTAATTTTGATGGTAAGTGTCTAGGGCAGTGATGGCGAACCTTTTGAGCTCATCATGTCAGCATTTTGAAAAACCCTAACTTAACTCTGGTGCCGTGTCACATGTAGAAATTTTTTGATATTTGCAACCATAGTAAAACAAAGATTTATATTTTTGATATTTATTTTATATATTTAAATGTCATTTAACAAAGAAAAATCAACCAAAAAAATGAGTTCGCGTGTCACCTCTGACACGCGTGGCATAGGTTTGCCATCACTGGTCTAGGGAATTGGTTACTCTTATCTTTGGACTTTTCTGTCTTGCTTGAAATTTTTTTAGATTTTTCACTATGTTTAAATAGTAAAATTATGTTTCTGGCAGGAAAAATAAAAAGATATACATTGAATTGTTATATGTTACATAGCTGAGAGAAAGAGTCCAGGAGAAAACAAGAAGAAAGGGAAAGAATGCTGCTGATGACTAAGTTCTAGGAGGTAGCTAGAACTGACAAGGGATAGAATTAAAAGCACATATCAAAAGTTGGTCTTTTTTTTCAGATTATAAGAGGACATTTATGTAGAAAGTTACAAAGATAATAGAAGTGAGCCTACTGGGCTGTGTAGGCTCAGGAAACTATAGAAACAAAAGAAGGGCCCTTGAATAATTATCTCTAGGTCTCTCCATACTGTCTCAAAGAGTAAGAGGTCCTTCTTTTTTTTATAGCTGCA